GCAGGTCATTAGGAAGCCTATAAAAGTGCAGATATGCAGCTCCGCCCTGCCATTAACTTCAAAAGGTGACCAAAAGGCAGAGGTTCTTTGCAGCAAAGGAAAAAGCAATGGAAAAAGTGAAGTCTCAGGACACCCAGGGGCTGCCCAAGAGTTCATTCTACAAAATCTGCCTTTGCCCATGCAAGCCAAGGGACTTCCCCAGGTGCTTGGTTTGCACTCGCAGAAGTCACCTAGGGTTAGACTCGCTGTTGCTGTGGCTGGATCTGTCTCATAGCTGTGGCAGGGGCCGGAGTTGTACAGGGTCTTGCAGGCCCAGAGTTCCAGGGCTTGCCCTTGTCCTGACCTGGAGCAAAACTGTGAAGTGTGCTTCTCTGTTTCCTTCCTTAGGGCCCTTCCCACTCACCTGCCCAGCAACCTAAAATCTCCCAGGGTCTCGTTTGCATAGGGGAGAAGACTCTATTAAATTCCTCACACTCAAGTGTCAATGACCCAAATACTCTCCCCAGCTTCTTTGGAAATTTCATCAGTTGTCCACATACAGAGCAAGACGTAGTGGCAGAATTTCAGGTGGTCTCTCTATGTAGGGACAATGTTTCAGATTCCTGGAAGTCTGCCTTTTCTTTTCCACAGATTATATTTCCTATTCAGTTGAAAATAAAACCATTCCAATCTACAGTAATAGAGTCCAGACCCACAGCTCTAAGTTGATGTCAAATTCTTTGAACTTCTGCGACCAGACTTCATATGGCTTCGCATGGCTAGGCTGGAGCATCTTGGTCCTAGACTATCCCCTGATCATTCCCAATTCTGACCCAACCCCAAATGATTAGGTGTGAAAAAGAATTTGAAATGTCAATAATGGAGAATTAATTTGACTCTGGTAAGGTTTACTCTAAGTACCCATTTAGGAAAATAGTCTGAATCTTTTCATTAATTCTACTTTCCCTCTGTCCACTTTCCTGCCATCAGCTGAAAATAGCATTTCACTAGGCACAGTTTTTCATTTTCACAAGACTTGTGGTCTTTAGCTAAATTTATTTATCTAGCAGAGCCCTGATGTGATGTAATTTTGAGGAAGGACAGCACTGAGTTGGTATAATTATTTATTAATATCTAAAAGCTCCCTTGCTTAATGTGTTCTCAGAGACAAGCTGTTAAATCATTAGGGATGGTAGGGATGGTGTTTTGTGGCTTTTTTTCTGTGCAGCAGCCAATGCTAACTTGAGCTTTGGGGCCTAAAGACCACCTGGCCTGAGTCCCCATTAGTAATAGGGTAATGCTGGTAATAGGTTGATCACCACCTACCAGGTCTTAGCATTAGACCTTTATTTGATAGATGTGATGGTAATAAAAGGAAATGAAGGGAAGTTTCCCTAGCAAACTCTGTGCTAGGCTCTGGGAACTGAGGGAAGGAGAGGAAACTTCTGGAAGCTGGCATCCTCAGCTGAGTCCTGCAGATGTGCTCATTTGTTGTGAGGAAATCAATGGCGGCATGAGAGAAATTCACAAGATAAGAACAGGATCAAGTGATTGCGCTGTGCTTCCAGAGATGAGAACCAAGGTGAGGGGAGTCTTGGCTCCCTTTTGGGAGACTTTTGCTAATAGACAGGTGGTTTTTTTTTTTCCAGTGTGGGCTGTTCTGACAAGATACCATGACCTGGGTGGCTTAACGAAGAGAGATTCTTTTCTCAAACTTCTGGAGAAGGGGGAAACAGCACGGTCTGGTTCTGTAAGAACTTCCTTTCTATCTTGTAGATGTTTACCTTCTTTCTGTGTTTTCACATGGCAGAGAGAAGGTGTTCTGGTGGTTCTTCCTCTTCTTCTAAGGGCATTAATCCCTTTCTCGGGCTCCATGCTCTTGACATCATCTAAGCCTAAAATATCTCCCACAGACCCCAACTCCTAATACTATGACTTGGGGGTTAGGCCTTCAACACATGAATTTGGCGAGAGGTGAGCAGAGATGTTCAGTCCATCAGAACAGAATGACCAAAGAGCAGAAAGAGATGTCCTGCACAAGGGATTCTCCCAGGCTGGTGCTTTTCAGCAAGAGGCAAGAAGATAAGCTATTGCTTTAGGAAAAGAAGTTCTCATGTTGATAAGATGTTGGAGTGATTTGCTTCCTAGTTTCCTTCCTCAGAGAATGTTCACTTAATTATTCTGTGAAGTGACAAGAAAAATGGGAAAATAGGAACCAGGAACTCAAGGTGAGTTACTCATGTAATGACCCCTGCCATGATGATGAGCACAGTCGAGAATGGTGGCCAGGTTGGACCAGTCCGTGGGAGGGATGAGGACCAGCCCTGGGATCTGAACATCACTGCTGTCCCTGGGTCACAGCCTCACTCTGCTGACTGGGGTGGGGGTCATCTGGTCACCTGTGACTGAAGAAGAGAAGAGTCACTAGTCTGGAAATGACACTCTCAGAGTCACATCATGTCTTAGCGGATATTTAAAAATTTTGTATTCTTCGTTGTTGCTTTGAATCTGAGATTCAGAACTTTAGTACCTATGATGATGTGAAGTGATTTCAACTTTTATTAAATTCCTCACTCATTTAGCATCTCATTTTGATTTGGATGAACAATTTCTTTCTAGACCGGTGACATTGGACCTCAGACACGGTAGTTTCATGAAACACATTTTGAAAGCTTTTGTAGTGGTAGAGGAAGCTCAGCCTGGCTCTCACTGCCTGGAGCTCCTCTCCTTCTGGGGTCTGGGGTCCTGGAAGCCCCAACTCCCACTTCTTAGCAAGAAGCTCACGGGAAATGTGGAGACTTCTGCAGAGCTGAATCTCTCTCCTCGCCTGGCTACTCTTCAGTAGAATCGCTGCCCGTTAGCCATTTTATTGACATCTTAATGAAGCCCTATCTGCATGGACTTGTGACACGGACATGCTTATCATATTCTTCCAACAGGTCTGACTGTATCCAAAAGGAAAAGGAAGCCTCATTCTTTAAAGAGATAGACACATACTCACCCATGTGAAGAAAGATTTGACGTTTATCAGTTTGTCTTCCCTTTATCTCATCTTTAAGACATAATTGTGGCTCTCTTTTCATTTCTCTGTAATGTTATAGCTGAAGTCCTTACTAACTGATGACTATTTGTCACATAGGAATTTATGATGATATATATGTTACAAATGAAACATATGCAAATGCATAGGGAAAAAGAGAAAAGGATGAAACCCAGTAGAAATAACTTGCTTTGTAAAGGAAAAGAGCTTGGGACAAGTGCATTGTGCACTTGGGATTTTTGAAGCCTTTACTATGTCTCTTTCCAGCAGGGGCTTTGGAAAGAGAATAGAATTACGTGGAGAGAGACAGAGGCCAGGTAAGTGTGAAATGGCTAAGTCATTGTGTTACCAAAAAAGAAAGTATGTCTAAAAGACAACTACCCCTTAGATTATTTATCTCAAACAGTTTCCAAACAAGCACAGACATGGGGCATGGATGCAAATGACCTGTGTGTTCAGCTTCTGTGGTACTAGGGTCCCCTCAGTGTCATGCTGCAAACCGGGAATTCACAGACAGAAGAGAGAACTTTTGCAAGTGAGAAGGGGATCTAGAGATGAAAGGAAATGGGAGCAGGGGTGGGGAGGAAGAGGGGAAGTAAAAAGAATTAAGATGTGCTATGTACATGTACCAACTCCCCATGTGGAATGTAATCATTATACACTGCAAATATGGATTGATAAAAATTCAAGAAAAAATTTTAAGAAAGGAGTAAAGCTACATTTTTTGCCCATGACAGTGCTATAAACTGTAAAGAAGAATCTGCCAGTCTCCTCTAACATTTCTTAGAAACATAAATAAGCTCTTGAGTGGGCAATCCCAGCTGTGTGCCAGTTGTAGAGGGAGAGGCCCTCGTGGAATTGAGGACAACAGCCAAGGTTCAAGAAAATGCTAAACGAATTGAGCTCAGTTTAACTGCCACCCTTCTTGGCATATTTTTTTATTTATATATTAATTGGTATATTTTAGGTATGCAATACATTTTAAAATCAACTCCTGCTGGAGAAAGAAATCCAATCAACACAGAAAAGGGGTACTAAGAAATCTGATCTATTCTTGCTGCTTTGTGACGCTAAAGATACATGATTTTTAGACTCTACTTGGTGCTAAAGATTCTCCTTCCATCCAAGAGTGCTAACACTAGGGAATGAATTTGATCTCCTTGTTAGAGACAGCCTCTCTGTATCAGGGAAAATGTGAACACTCTTCTCCTGCTTGGCAGATCTGTATCTCCTTTTCCGGGAAGATTTTTATGTTTAAGGGGTATTATTTGACATTTGGTAGGTGTAAATCTTTATAATGGTGATCTAGAAAATGAAGGCATCTTTATAGTATTCATAGCAGTGTAATTATTTCTGTCAGAAGATCTTATAGATGTTTCTTGATTATTTACTTTGGACTTCCCAGCTTGAAAGCAGGATGGACCCCTAGACCTGTGAGATGTTGAACGAAGGGTCTCCATTCCGACCTCTATTTCACACAGTACCCAGGGAGTGAGATGTATCCCACCCTCTGATGACTGGTGCCACCCTTGTGGGTATGCAGGTCACCCTTGCCATCTATATTAAGAAAAACTGGAGACATTTAACCCAGAGGAGAAAGAATTCCTGGGAAAAATGGTTGCTGTCTCCAAATTTGTGGAAAGAATGGTGGAAGAGGACAGATAAGAGAGCTAACTCTTATGGCACAAGTGCAACCTTAAAGGTCTTTTCCAACCTTCTGCATGGTCCTCACAACCTTATGAGGTAGGCATCTTTGATATGGAAACCAAAATTGAAGTCTCAATAATTGTCCAGTTAGTGGTTAAGTGTCAAAGTCAGACTTAACCAAAAATAAAACAAAGCCAAAATATCCTGAAGTCCTTCTGTAACCAATGCAATGGGTTCACTCCTCGGTGAGCGCACAGTAAGTGACCAATACCAGGCAAGAAAAGAGTAAAGCAAGTAAGAAGAGACCTGGAGATAACTCCCGAAGCACAACTCCTGGAAGAAAGAAAGCAAGAGCTTTTATTGGGGAGACTCATACATCAGATGTAAAGGTGAGCACCTTGTCGGGCATGCTCAATTTGAAGTCTTACATCGCATGTTCAAAAACAATGTTGGACAGAATACTCGTGGTGGGGAATCTAATGTTTATTCTGGTCACCTAAGAAGAGTGACTCAGAGTGACTCAGTGACTTTGGCTGGTTCCTTATCAGTTCCACTGGAGGACCTTATGGGAAACCTGAAAACACAACTTGAAATCTTAAAGGAGCGTTTGTTTGTGGTCATGGAAATTGATCCCTGGTTGCTCTACTACTAAGCTACATCTCCAATTCGTTTTATTTTTTATTTTGAGATAAGGTCTCACCAAGTTGCCCAGGCTGGGCTCGAACCTTCCATCTTTATGCCTCAGCTGTAACAGTCATTTAAAGGAAGAGCAGCTCCCCACAGCCTCCTCAAGCGGAGGTGACTGTCCCTAGAAGTTCCTTTGTAGCTACTAACACTTCCACACCTAAGAGCAATCCATACAGTCCCATGAGTGAAGCTTGGGTCAAGAGACAGAAATTCCAAGGCAGTAGATTTCACTCCACTCAATAGTGGAGGGAGAGTGAGTCTGAGCTTCAGAGTGGTCCAGAAATGCAGAAATGGAGGCGGGATGGCGGAGTGTGGGTGCGTTGTCTTTTGGGGGGCTTCTAACTTCACATGGGTCATCATTTCCCAACACAGGTCCTACAGAATCCTGACTGAGGAGTAGCAGAAGGATCAGGAAAAATGAACGGGATGAAGAAATGGGTTCTATGGTTGAATAAGTTCTCCAAATGCTGTTAGAACATGTCATTCCCTGGAGAATTTTTCTGAGACTTTTGCATACTAATGGTGATTTGTGAACCTACACTAAGGGATCTACCGAATGAACTTATCTGACCTTGGCACCTTTCTCCTGGAATATCAGGAACTAATGTTCCAAAGAATGCAGCCAGAAAATATGGTGGTGGAGCTTGCCAAACGCAGGAGGAGAGTGAGGCCAGAGGACCTGCCAACCTTGGGCATTTCTTCTATTCATGTCGTTCACCCATTCATTCACTGGGAAAACAAATCACTGAGAATTTGCCAGGTACCAGTGCCAGAGGGAGATGCTGGGGATACAAGAGAGATAAAGCCTTATCTTCTCTCTCTCCTCCCAAGTCCATCAGCGGCCCACATAGCTCCCGTTCACTGCCACACCTCCCCAGCCTCCTGGGCCTTCTTCCTGTTCTGAAATCTCTCCAGGTGTGCTTGCTCCAGCATCCTCACTGGCTGCTCCTGTCCCCCAGGGGCCTTTTCCACATATCTGCGTGGTTGCCTGAGACTGGTCCTGCAGGATGCGCTCAGGATCACCTTCTCAGGGCCATCCAGCCATGCTCCTCACATGGCATCTCTCATCCCGTGCTAATATTTTTTCCATATAATTATCACCTTCTAGCACTCTGCATGGTTAACTTTATTTTTATTGGTGTCTTGTCTTCCCTGCCAGAAACGAAAGCTGCCTGCGTAAGGGTGTCTTATCCGCAGATCCATCTCAATGATTTAAAACAGCCCCATGGCCACAGTAGGTGCTCAGCAAGTAGTGGTTGAACGAATGAGTGAAACACACAGCTCCTCTCCTCAAAGGTGATTCGATAAACTTCCGAGCAGACAGAACACTCGTGTGATCCATTATTAGAGTTTATTTACATAAATGAAATCTCAAAATAGCCTCAAAATTTCAGATAATGTTCTGAGTAACAGATTTTAAAAAGCAGGTACTAAGGACAACTCCCATGCTCAGTGGCATCTCTAAGCTTTAAATGTGATGCCTTTCGTGTCCAATCCTTACTGACATGTCCGCTTTAGGTCTGGAAAATCTAGGTCTGACCCGGAAGTGTAATTATGGTCTATTTATATTTTAATATCTGGGAGAATTTAGCCAGGTGACAATGAGTTGAGCCTAAAAATGTCAGGATGCTACCTACTCAAAGGTTCCCATGAAATAGGGTACAGGTCGCCCTGGTTCAAATATCACTTGTGCCTTTGCAAGGTATCTTTAAGGTATAGATGTTCACGCTCGCCAGGCATGAAAGTCATATTCCATCTTCTAGGTGCAGAAAAGACCTGGGGAAGGTTTCCCAAGCTCAGGCAAGCCTCTACCCTGTCTTGTTGCTGTCCGACCCCGGAACTGTACGTCCTCCACGCCTTTCATCATTTTTTGATGGAACTTTTCTTTAGACCCAACAGTTTTTGATACAAGGGAATTTTCTTTTTTCCCTCATTAAAGGCTGTGACTTGAGTCCCCAAATGGCTGTTCACTCTTTGAGTCAACTACAGGATGCCGACCAAAATCCAAATCTGACCCTGCTTGGAATATCTGTTCTAATTATTATTCTCAGCATCTGAGAAGAGAAAGGGCAAAGAGGTGAAGGATTTATTTCAAATCTGGAAATAAAGAGTCATGCATTGCAAGAAGCAACAATCTCTTTGCTTTTTTACCTTTATATTTGTAAAGTGGTTATATTTTGTCTTATGTGTGTATGCAGCATATATATATATATATAAAAATATATATATAAATATATATATATACGTAACAGGCTTTATGCGAATTAGAGTACTTAATGTGGGTTTTGAACTTGTGCCAGGAGTGGGCTCTGAAGCCAGTTCTTCCTATTTGCATTGCTACATTTATCCATTTCCAAACAGTAGAAGATCTATCTGTCAGATTCTGTGTAAATCCAGCACACAGATGATTTGTAAAAAAGCTTTCTTTCAAAATGTTCTGCGGTTTTTCTAATCTCGTCACTTTTCTAATTTTCTAATCACATAACCTTGAAGTCGAAAGACACAGCCTGTGATAATCTGTGTACACTGTCTTCATTATTATCACAGGCATTTCTAGGGGGGAAGAAAAAGAAAACACACACACACACAAAACACACACCAAAAAAATCCTTTCTGCCCCACACACATTCAAAGCGGTCTTTAAAGTCCTACTTTAGTCACAGTTCAATCAGAGCCACATTAGTCCTACTCATCAGACAGAAAAGTGTTCATGAGCATAAGGGGGATATTGACTTTAAAAATTTACTGGCGAGGCGTTCAGAGCCTGCAGGAATGTCAAAACTCCAACCTGCATTTTGATGTTTTTGCCTCCGGTTAGTCTTGACTGACATGCTTGGAGCACTTTGGTCTGTGCTCTGGCATCTATTAACTGTCCTTGACGCAAAGTTATCCCGGCCGTTATGGGCAGCCCGCTGCCTAATGGTTTCAGTGGATTCGATGCCCCAAGGTGTAAGGAAAACTCACACCCCGCTTTAAGGGATCACATTGGCTATTCTTGGCTTCATTAGGAGGGCATTGTTTGATCCTAAATAATGAGAGCCTGTTAATTATTATTCTGATAATTGGGCCTCATGTGAGAGCATGGCAGGCAAGGGAGGTGTTTTAAAAGGAAGCAAGTTTGGAAAAGGAGAAAGAAATGTCAAGGTTGAGTTGTCTTTGAGAGGAGTTTGTTTATATGCAAAGCGTTTTCAACTAAGTGGGGACCTGGTTCTGGATGGAAGGAGGAGAAAGAGGCTGGGGCAAGCCCAGGTCTGTACTTACTTCATCTAGAGTGGATTACAAAATTACTACCTTGGACAAACCACTCAAAAAGGCTCACCAGTCCCACGACTGAACCTGTAATTCTGAGTGAAGAGACTGGGAATTGGTTTGTCTGGAGGAGAGAGAGAGAGAAGGAGAGAAGGGGAGAGAGAGAGAGAAAGAGAGAGAGAGAGAGAGAGAGAGAGAGAGAGAGAGAGATCATATGGAGAATGGAGAGCTTGGATTTATCCCAGCTGCTTTCTGAAGAAAACAGTAATCTTTGTTCATCTGTAGGCTCTGGCCTTTCCTATTTTTGCTCATCTATAACATGATAACTAAGTCCACCAAGAGTCTCATGATAAGATGGCTGCCTGGTCAGACAAAAGGGGTGTCTGTCCAGGACACATAACATTGAGAGTACCCAAGATGGCCGACAGCAGAAGGCCTCTGGGTAGAAGGAGGCTGAAGAGAGGTTTCCTTGAGTAAGTCACTCTCAAGTGAACCTCTGAAATACTGTGAAAAATTTACCCTTTCAGGTTATCTATAAATCGAAAGTACTGCTTTCCAATATTAATCTGAATGTGGTTTCTTTACCCTTATCCAGTACTGTGTTACAGTATTTATATTCATTTTTAGTTCTGTATTATGCCACCCATGTAATTGTGAGAAAATTCCATGATCTATAAGTCCAGAGTATTGTGTCTTTCTTAGAAACTGGGTAAGAGCCCACAGAGTCTCTATCCAATTGAAGGAAGGATGGGATTTAAACAAATGTCTCGATTTAAAAGGAAGGAGAGTTTGGGAAAGGTAAACTTCCATTTGAAGCATTCACTGTGGTTTTTGTCAGACTTACTCAGACTTAGGGTAGAGCTGGCCAGCTGAGATGAGAGCTGGCCTGCCTGTACACCAGGTGACAGTGACCTACAGGAAGAGAAGAAATAGAGAGAAGGTCCATACTCATTTTGAGTTCCAGTGCTATGTTCCACCGACTTTGCTTGCTTCTAAATCTCACTCTTCCAATTAAACTGGAGAGACTATCAAAAGTGCCTGTTCAAAACGGCCACATACCCTGGAGTTCTGGACTTGCCCGAGCCTTCTTCATACAGCTCTGTGATTCTTTTGTAGGTGTGAATGTTCTTTGAGATGCACCATGGGCTGTAGAGCAGGAGGAAAGGGTGGGAGGGCCCGGGCACAGTATTGGGGAATTGAAGAGTTAGTGGCCAAAACAGGTGATCTTGTCTGTGATCTCTCAACTGTTCCTAACAGCTTCAGTGCAGCTCATCGATTCATCCAAATGGCACCATACTTCACTGGGACACAGCATACTACGTACAGAGTTATTCCACTACAGCACCATCTTGGATCTGTGTACAGGGAAGGATTAAAGCCAGCAGAATCCAGGAGGTAACACCAACAACAATCACATGGAAAGTAGACCTGACTTGACCACTCATTCACTAGGTGACCTTGGGCTTGGTCTGATTCTTCACCTGTGTGGTGGGATTAATTATATGCCTTTAATCTTATTGGGGTGTTAGGAAGCTAAAGGAAGATTATAACTGTCAAGTAATTTGTAAAAGCGAGATACTATGCAAACTTATGATAATGCTGCCATTTCCAGGTAGATTAGGACAGCTGGGATCACCCTCTTTCTTCTTCTTACCTCCAATTTTGCTTCTTTCACATCTTTATTTCCTCACCACTGAGTGGGTCAGCCTCTTCGTGGAATTCACATAGGAACATAAGAAACTTCTCTGACTGGAATAGAATAATGGTGCTTTAGAAGTAGTACCTAGCACAGTGGCCTACGTGTACAGGTCTGTTAGCTTGTTTATACAGCAAATCATCGAAGTGACTGTTGGTGCCAGGGATATAATGTGTTTGTTAGTGTAGAGTACAACACTTTTCTGCCTGGGGTCCTGCACTTAGAAGTCAGGCTCCCTAACTTCTCTGTTAAAGAAACTCCATAAGAATTTTCAAACATTTTTTCTATCTCGGTATTTTCAAGTTCTGGCTTTTATTTAGTCTTTTCCTATTATTCATCCTCCAGAAGCTGCTTCATGCTTCCGTGAAGGACAATGGGCCATGTGTTCCTGGGAATCTGGACAGGTGTGACATTATCTTACTTGGATCCTTATATTCCGGTAGATTTGTTTCCATGGTACTCCATGTTCTTGACTTTTCCAACTTAAGAGTCCTAGTTTTTTTAGTCTGCTTTCAGAATTTGCGCAAATAGCCAATGGGCACATTTATAAGATGTTTCATCACCTTACAATTATCACCTAAGCCACAGTCTCTCTCTGGAGAGGTCACAATTTGTTAAATTAGACAGATACATCATCACAGGCCATGAGGTCATATACACTCCTGGATGAAGACATTATTTAAAAGAAGGAATGTAGCTCTGTTTGTCCCCATAGCTTCCCTCCTCCAAATAGCCAACCTTCTTGGGTTTGCTGGTTTACAGTGATGCCATCCCATGTCTTGGCGTTCACCAGGGCACATGTTGGCCAAGGTCTTTGCTGCCTTTGAACTTGAACAGACATTTCCACTTCAGTACCGGTGACTCACAGGCCAATCTTCACAGCTGCTCTGCTCTCCCGATGGCAGGGCCTTTGTGTTTCATTGTGTTGAACCCAGGATAGGGGACATTATGGCAAAATGCTTTTTTTCTCTGTGTGTGTCTCTCCTTCTGTCTCTTGAAAGATTTATATGTACTTCCTTCTGCTTTTTGCCTGGGGTGATATTGATAACTCTTAAATTTAGCATTTCACATCGTACAAAATACCTGTACTTCAAAACACCATACTCCTTTTTCTGGGTGCAATTAGGACAAGGTTTAGGTCTTGTCTATCATGCCTTCACTCTATCTCCTTAGGTGCTGTTCAAAAAGGATGATGAAGAGAAAGTCACAAATACCATTGGTCATAAGACTCTTTCAGGGCAAGAATCACTCAACTGGTCGAATCACCATGGAACAGAGTAAAAGCAACAGTGAATATTTGGAATCAGGCATTGAAGTTGAATAGGAATCAGGTAAAACCAATGTGGAATGTAGTTTGTAACCACCTCCATCTCTACCCCAACTCCATGTATTAGCCACATGTGAGTTTGTTGTTATAGAAGTTATCTCTGGCAATTCTGGAATGCTGGGTCAATTCATTCTTTCCCCTAAAGCTTCCTCCTCTAATCTGCTTTGAATCACAAGGAAAAGAAACTAAGCTGCTTACCTGAAGAAGGAGCCCATTCCTGGCCTTCAGAGTCATTGTGTTTTAGATTATTCATACCATCAAGTTCTCTTTCATTGTATATCACGGGGAGCTGTTAATAAGGGGAAATATTTTCTGGGCTTGAATACAACATATTTAATAGTTCAGGTGACAAAAGCCCTTCTAAAAATTTGATGCATTTAAAAATGTGCAGCAGACAACAGTATGGATGGCATTTGGCAGATTTGTGACAGTGTCATGAATCCTTTTCTCATTTTTTGTCACTGTCCTAATAGATATAAATAAGATTTAACGAGCAATTGGTCACATCTCACTACCAAATACACTCAAGAGAATCCCTTATCATTGGAAAGGATGAAGTTTCATTCCGTCACCTGGCTCAGAATGGTTTACAGTAGCTTCTGTAACACTGTGACCAAACACATTTGTCTCAACAGACACATGGAGTCTGTGCTCCTATGGTGACATGGTTACTAGTCAAGAAATGTGACCTGAGTTACAAGTGTTACACCAGTCACATGTAGTCTTTGGTTCCACATGGCAGTTCATGGGACAGCTCAGGCTACTTCTCTAGAATTCTGTAGCATTAACCTCTCTCAGAGGCTATTTAGCAGCACAGTTTCAATGATTTAACAAATATTTCATATCAAATAAGAATGTGCCAAGGCCTTTCCTAGATGCTAGAAATAGGGTGAAAGAGCAACATAGACGTAGTCCCTGCCCTTTCAGGCTCTTACATCTAGAAGGGAAGAAAGATGTAATTAATAATTGGAGTGCAGCTGAAGGAAAAAATTCACAATCCCTACTGACAACACTGAAGCCTTTGGTTTCCCAAGTAAATTAGTTTTAGTGAATTGCACACTTGGTCATTGTTTTACCTCATTTCCCATAGCTCCTTTCATTGAGTCTATATTAAGGGCCAACTGACCGTCCCAAAGGACCCCGGCCAAGTCTCAAGCTCCTGGTCTCCTGTAAAAATGAGCTGAGCTCCTCTGCTTCCTCCACCTCCAAATGTTGTTTGAGAAGCAGAAGGTTTTAGCACCTACATGTGCATGTATGACCGAGGAATTAACTTTTCTATCTTGCACGGAGATTGGTAAGCTTAGAGGCTACAGGACCACCCCACATTCCAAATCCATGCACCTGCACTGCCCAGTTGAGGCCAAAGTCCCTACATCCCCAAACTCAGGTGGTTCCATAGCAGGTTTGTTTGGGAGCCATGCCCAGGAATGTGAAGGTAGAGTCTGGACCTTGGCCCATCTGTGTGGCATCAGATAAGTGACCAGAACTGCCCTCTCCTGAGGAGTTGTTACCATTTGGCATGATCAACTGGGAGGTTTCCTGTAGCCTTCGTTTCCATCACAGTGCTGCATGGAGCTGATAAATGTGTGCATGGGAACGTGGGGATGGAGTTGGAAGAGGAATGGAATTTCTGCAGCTTGGGTTTTGGGTTGCTTTGCTGTTTTCAAACTTAGAAGAGATGCATGATAGGTCAAGTTTAGAAGATCTTTCTGGTAGACTGAGTTCAGCAGCCTTTGATACTCATTGAAGTAGATGACAAGCACTATCCTCTAATATGCTCAGTTTTTTCACCAAGTTGATAAATAAAACCTTTGGCACAGATTACTATGCTACCAAGGACCAAACCCCATGTGTGTTTTAATAGTATTCATTTTGTCACTGCTTAGAAAAATCACATTCCCCAGTCTTGAGCCTCAAGTGAAGGAAGGTCTTACGGCCACTGTAGATCATTTCAACATCCTGGACCAAGACCAGCATTTCTACATCATGACCCCTAATGTGCAGCTAACCTAGTCACTGTAGAAGAAAATAAAGCCCAGCTTTAACAGAATGAAACATTCCGTCTGGTGGCCCCTTGTAAATAGTTCCTCCGTTCTCATTGCTCCACACAATGGGGACCAAGCACAGAAAGGTAAAGCACTCAAGCCATGTGTTCAGTCCTCTCCTGCTTCTCTTGAGTCACGTTGGTTCCTTCTCCTGGCATTCTGGCTCCACTCCCTCGTCACTGTCTAGTTTCTTACTTGGTCAAGAACCATCCCATCCCTACATTTCTACTCATTTCCCATAGAGGTACAGTTTGTGGAGTTCCATCTCTGACTCTGCACTGAGCTTTCTCGGCACGATCTCATCAGCATGGCATGCCGCTCTTCTCTCCATTTGTCAGGTTTGCTACTCGTTACATTTTGCACATGTATTATGTTAAGGCAAAATTCTTGTCGCCCCCAAATAAATCCTGTATTCTTCATGGACCTTACTCTCAAATGGACCCCCAGAGTCATCTGTGACTCCTCTCTTTCTCTAGTCCCCCACATCCAATCCAGCAGCGAGACTGTCACCCTGGCCTGTAAAGTCTGTCTTAAATAGAACTCATTCATCTGAACTCCATTTTTATTTCCTAAAGTTGAGGAAGAATTCGCATTGATAGTCCTTCTCCTTTGAATTCTCTTTGGCAAGACTCTCCCTCGGGTTACAGCATCTCTCCACTCAAGATTCAACCAAAACGGCCCCCTCAAAGAGTTTGCTCTCCTTCTCACTCTCTTTTTGTCCTCCAGTAGTTATTTATATGATGCCTTTCAGTATTTTTCCTAGGTATGTGCTCCACTTTGTTTCTCTGCTATATTCTGTCTTCCCTGATAAAATGCAAACTTCATACAGTTAGGGATTTAACTGTTTTACTAACTCAAAAAGGGCTGACCACAGAGTAGATGTTAGTAGCCCTTGTGAATGAGTAAGTAAACAGTGGCGCAAGCTCAAGCCAATACAGGGGAGTAACTCGCCCCTGAGACCCAGAGAGCAAAGTGGGTGTCAGGACTGGAGCCCTGGTCAGTCTCAGTCTTACCTCACACTAAATGAAATTTCACTCTTTTTCCTCTTCACCAAATCTCCCCCTTCATCCTGGGCTCTCCAGCCTTGTTGCTTAGCTGAGTGCCATACTTGTTACAAGATGCTAACTCTAGTTGAAGGATGCCTGGAGATCATCATTTGGTCACCCAACAAAGTGAATCTCAAGTTCTAACGAGAATTCTAATCACTAAGGAGCAAGGCTCGAGGGGCAGCAGGGGCCTCAGAAGCAATGAAGAATGCTCTTTCCCAAGTCACGCCAGGGAGGTGGGGCCATGCACGAAAAGGCTGGGCTAACTCTGGTCACCCATCTACAGGTGCTTTAAAATACACAGCTGAATAAGGTGTTTCATATATATTTTCTCCTCGCTGTCTTCCGAACACCCCTTTCAGGTTAGTAGATAAGCCTTTCTTATTTCCATTTTGCAAAAGAAGAAACCTCATTCCAGAAAGGCTGCAAGGCTGAGTCCAAGGACAGCCAGCCCGTGGGTGGCAAGGCAGGAGACAGTGCTGTGTCTTCTGAGGCCGACTCAGAAGGGCTCCCATGACTGTGCTGTGACAGAATTTCATGTTCATGTCATGCCTTCTACAGTGGGAAACACAGAAACATAAGGAAATACATATGAATAAAGGAACACTATGAAAAATAGGAAGAAACTGAAACATCTTTCTATTGAAAATAGAACAATTTTCTTATAGGCAAGAATGCTGGACTGTGGCTAAAAAAAGTCCAGACTTCTGACGACACGCTTATGTACGCTTCAAGGTTTTGGACCCTGACTCAGTTCTAATTTCCCTACTAGCCTTATGTTCCATTTCTCATTTCTCCTTCCTTCCTACTTTTCTTCCCTCCTTCCTTTTTTATTGCTGGACTAAAGAGTACAGTAGACATATTTTCTTACCTCAAAGTTCATTCCCCTAGAGAATGACCCCAGCATCTTACCTTGCCTGCCCTATGGAAGGAATCTCAGGTTATTCTCCACATCATAGAGCTAGTACATGACAGAACTATGGTATAAACCCATGCATGATTCCAAAACTCATTTTAACTACTTTATCAAGTCTTAGAACTATGAATGTAAGACTCTCCCCATTTATGTGAGATATTGCTAATCATTCATAATAGCTTTACTATTTACTGAGCCCTGACTCTTTCCTAACCCAGCCCTCCAGGCCACCATTAGCACCTGGTTAGAGTCAACATTGAGATAAAACCAGGTGCCATTGCTGCATTATTTTGAGTCATCAAAACTGTCCTGATCTTTGGATCTAGAGATCTCATAAATTTTTTGAGGGGGTTAATTTTCTTGGTTTTTTTGAGTTGTCACAGCCCCACTATCTGAAGAACACGGCCACTGACAGTTCCAAGGATGCTCTCTCCATCTGCAGCCTAACCCTCCCCCCAACTCGTCCTATTGTAGAGGTCTTCGAGGTACCCAGGAGCTGGAATCTGTCTCTGTAAGTGACTGCTTATGGTTTGGGGTTGAAACCAGCCTGTTTGGTCAACAATGACCACGTTAATTTGATATAACTGCTTTGTAAAAAGAGCTATAATGCACAGGAATTTTGATGCTATATCTTATAATACTACAAAATAAAACAGCAAATTTGAGCTACTAGACCATATAAAAGAGAACTAGATCATCAATTATATTTGGCTAATTTCAAGAAGATGGTACATTAAATCAAGACACAAATGAAATGTTTTGCACTTAATAACTTACCTGTAAAGGTTGATCTCGAAACTCTTTGTAATTCAGACACATAGGAGAACTTTTACAAATACAAGTATCTACAGCACGTCTTCTGAGTGGTGGATTCAGAAGATGTGGGTAGGAGCTCATGGAGGGGGATTGATGTTTTTACCAAGGTCCTTGGGAAAATCAAAATCACTAGACTAGGTGGTCCCTAAGGGATGCTTGCAGCTGTGACGAACTTCATGTTCCCAAGAGATCTGAGGTTCCTAGCAGATTGCAGGATTAACCAGTGCACCTCCTCTGGTGAAACTGGCTCCAACATCTACAATGAGAAGTTTCCCTGAGGCCCAGTGGGTTTGGTTAGAAAGCTCAGAGCTGCCAGTCCTTGGGAAGGAGCAGAAACCAAGCTAGCTCTTCCTTGGAGAGAGTTGGTGATTGTCTGGCTATCAGGATCAAGTGGGTGCTCCAAGCATGAGAAAATCAGTGCAAGTGAGCTGGTAATTAATGGAGCCATGGCACTAGCAGAGGTCACTTCCGACATCCCATGATAGCAGGAGCTTCCTTTTCCAACTTGTCCAAAAGCCTTGAGATTTTTTTTATCCTCCCTGCTAGTCTAACAACAAAAAGGAACTTCTCAAGGAAACTCTAAAATGGAACTGAAAAGGAACAATAGAATTGGATTTGATTTGTTTAATTCTGAAATCAAGGTCACTAGGAAGTACTAAAGCTCTTATTTGTGTGGGGTTTTTTTCGTTTTTTTGGCAACATCTTTTTTTCCATTTGATGGTCCTGTCAGCCCCAGAACTGTGTATGTTACTGATCCTGCCTGTATTCAAAGCTGTTATTAAGTGGACTCTTTTAGATTTTAGAGAAATGATAATGGTTCCAAAGATGACAGAAAGTGGCAGCTGGTGACAAAAAAACCCCTTGATAAGACGACAACAGTAAATCAAACTACCGCCACTTTTTCGTTTCATGTTTGTTAATACCATCTCGCCTTTTGAAGTTTAAAGCAAGGTTCAAAAAAGCCAGGTGCTGAATCATAATATTAAAGCAAGTAAGGAGCTCCATGAAAGCGTGGAGATCTGAGGGGGGAAGCAACAAACACGGCTTTCAACTGCCTTTTGTCGGCCTTTCTGCAGATGTCACCAGTGGTTATCCCAGCAGAGGCTTCGGCTTGTAGCAGTGCCTCTGGCTGATTCCCGCGCTGTGTTTCAAGTGTCAATCAAAAAGGAAGGACGCAGCTTAGGTCCTGGTCATTGTCCTGTGAAAAGAGCCAAGCATTTAACATTGATTTAGCTCCCTCAATATACAAAGATAGAGCCAGCTTTGTGCATGGAAAAGGGCCTTTGGCAAGGTTGCTCGTAGAGCAATTCCATCGCATCCGGAGTGCCTTGGTGTAGCTGTCAGACTGCGGTATCTGGAGCCCTCTGAAAAGTTATTCAGGACTGAGTGAGCAGATTGGAAAGAAAGAACGAGTCTCCTCCAAGAGTGGAGCGGGTGTGGTGAGGGCCTCTTAGGAGCTCCTGGTCTTGACCAGCATTTTAAATAATAATTAATAATAACAATAATGATAATAACATCAGTAAACTGCCAGAGCTTGCCGAATAAGTTAGAGCAAGCTAGCCAGGCAGCCAGAGAAGGGGAAGCGGAGAACCTTCTGAGGTGGTCATTCCTCCAAGCTGGCCTCAGTCTGGGTGTGTCCTTCATGGCCTGGGGTGCGGAAAGTTTAGACCACTTGGTCACAGTGCCACCCTTACTTACCTTTCCATTTCCTGTGAACAGACACCAGTCTGGCCAGATGAAGGGGAAAAAGAATAATAGCAAAGTTGGAGTTGAACTAAATGACCCAGTTGTCTCCATGTGTGCGCGCCTTTCTTTCCTCCCTCTTCTTCCTCTTTGTGTCTCATTCTTCTCCTCCTCCTCCTCCCTCTCTTCTTCCTCTCCCTCTTCACCTTTCTTTTTTGCCTCTGTTTTCCTACACACCATCCAATTACAGAATTACCATTGGGCTCCTGTGTATTTTCACTTCTGTGCTGCCTGAGCTGGGACGATGCGGATCCAATCGGATGGTCCCCCACTGACAGTGGTATAAGTTCCATTTGCCACTTTATGACAGTGCAGAAGTGATATGCATTCAGCGTAAAACACACTTGGAATTGTGTGCGTTGATCTTTTCCTAAGCAATATGCAGTGCTATCCTCTCCGGTGGTGCTAGGTAGCCGCAGGGAGTCACAGGTCCTTGGCACCAGGTGAAGAACCAACCTCTACAGTGTACTAGGTGGCTGAGCTGCTGTGTTGGCTAAGCTGGGTGTAAATGCAGTTTTGATCCTAAGTTTATCAGGATGTGACACTGTTGTAAGTTAGGGAGCATTTCCAAGCCTGCTCTTCCTCATCACTAGTCAACGAGTCAAGTTTCCTGAAATGGTGCCTGCTAAGTGCAGGTCTGAGGAAACTTGGTAGCAATGATGGTTGCTCCCTAAACTTCCATCGGCTTGCCCTCATCTCCCCAGTTTCTTTGCAGTTGGGCTGGAGTCTTGGAATGAGTTTGAGCTGTGAGAATGCGCATCACTTTGGCTTTGAGGTCCTAATAAATGGGACACTTCATCCATCCCTTCTCCCCTGCAGGAGCCCTATGCTGAGATGGTGTACATCTCCATCCAGGAATGGAAGCAACTTCAATTGCTGAGTGAAGGCCTGACCCCAGGAGGCTTTGCATGAGAAAGAGACAAACCTTTGTTGTGTTAAAGCACTGAAATAGAGTCTCACTTATGTTTTTTTCAATCTACCCAGTTTGCCAGAAATACCCTGATAAGGTGCTCCTCCATTAAGGGTGGGTCTGAAATCTTGGATAGACATCAAGTTTTTTCCGACAGCTGCTCTGACCTGTGTAAATATGGAGAGATGACAAGAGGAAAGACAACATCACAAAATGGTTCATTTTCCATTTAGCCAAAGTTCAGGTCCTTAACAAGGAATCAGAAGGATCAACTCTTATGCCCACTCACACTCCCAGTTCCTTGGCCAAATTGTCCTTTAGCGGCACCTTGACTAAGAATCAACTCAATCATCTGTCTCTTTCACTCTTTGTGCTAGATTAGAGTGACTCAGGAGAAACAAATCAACCTCACTGGTCAGTATGAAGCTGAGTTTGGGTCTCCAGCCTCAGTTGCCTCTCAATACCAATTGGCAGTTCCACTGGGCATCCTTAAACAGCTTCTTCTACCATCCTCCTAGCATATCCCCAGCATATAAAACAAGCCCCCTCTTTATACCTTGGATGAAATACTGTATATTCACTGTCTCCTTTTTCATTTCCCCCCGCTATTCCTTGATCCATGACAATCTGCCTTCTGTCTTCTTTTCTGAAGAAAGCCACTAAGACCTCTGTAGTACTGCAATAGGAACTTTCAGATTTTAATCTTGCCAGTATCCCATAGACACTTAAACCATTGCCTTTTCTCCCCTTTCTCCTAACTTGTTGTCCATGATTTTTTTCTCCTGTTTTGCCACTTTTCTCTGGTTTCTTTTACTCCACCTCATTTCTTAGATTCTTGTTTCTTTGAACCTCATCCCTTCCATGAATGCTATTTGTCAAGCTCTAAATGGGGGCCACTTCACCCCTAACTCATGATATTTGAAATGGCCTTCAAGGTACTGATTGGAGTAGGGGAAAGGACACGGTTAAAATAGTCAAAATTCTCTAGAAGAAAAGGAATGTTTTTGTCCTAGACTGTGGCCTTGTGACAGAATACCAATTCCTCCAGCGAAATTGAGTTAAACAGTTTTACAAGAAGATGTGACTCAGATGGAGTCATGGTTACAGAACTGTCCCCAGCTCTACTTTGATAGAACTGGGACAGAAGAACAGTGTGGCATCTGCCTGTTGTTTCTTGGCCCAAATGCACTTGAGAACGTACTCGCTCGCCTGAGAACTTGTGGACTCAAATACATACAGAGGGATCAAGCCACAGGCAATTCCATAAGAGATAAAACTTGTATACCTTTGATTTTTTCTTATTCCAAACAAACATGTCTAAGATTGATTTGCTTGATTCTTTCTTCTGGTTTGCATTTTCCTAATGAAAAATTATTTAGTCCCTCACATTGATGATGAACTGCTGTTTACTAAGCAGACACGTTCATTTACACTAACACTGACAGAGATGTTCTAGGAAAGATGCTGGGCAAATCCCCTCCTTGACCTTTTGCTTTTGACTGCAGATAGCTAACGCTTTGCTATAAAGGTGACCTGATGCTTTATCCTTGAAGGAAAGGAACTGCACCAGTTCCACCTGAAGCTGAACCTCTCTGTGCTCCTCCATGTCAACCTTTTAATTGAAATCGCTAGGTAGCCAGGTGCACCAAGACATGAACTTGAACTAATTGGCCTCATGGTCCAAATGGTTCCGCTATGTCTACATGCAGATATACAGGGATTTTGCAACTTCCTCCCAGCTTCCTTGTCCATGAAGCCAATTCAGCTTTGATTCTTGGGCTGTGATTCATTCTCAACCATTAACCAAGTTTTTAAACCATAACAGAAAGCAAAAGCAAGAAGTCTATAGTCTGGAGAAGGTGAAGTCACAGGGCATTAAAAGAGAAACAAGGAAAAGTACCATGAGTGCATGGATAAGCTAAAGCAAATGTGATATGATACATGACTTTGCCTTGATGGGGTGTGTTGTCCCTGAACACTGGGGACAAGGTAGGCAGGAGGGTGACAGAGATGTGTTTAGAGATATGAGTCATCTACATATTGAATTTATTAAAAATTTAAGGGGTCCTTTGGGTCTTTCCATGCAAGGACTATTTTTCTCCTCCAGGTGTTTGGCCACTGTAGCTTCTTACATCACCTCAGGGCCACAGTGACAGGAGAGTCTGACTTAATGACCTCCACGGTCTCCGGTGACAACTTCTCAACCCTTCAACATGCTCCTGAAGTGAGGAGTACTTATTAGGTTTTTCAGCAGCACTTAATCATATCCTTGCTTTCTCTTCTATTCACTTTCTTCAGATGCCCAGAATTTCTCAGATACTTAAGAGTACAGACTGTGAAATCCCAGGGTGGGGAATCAAGGAGAAAATGGAAGTCACCACTTTCTTAACCCCTCCAAACAGCCAAACCAGACGCTGGAGAGCTTGGGCAAGTGTCCAAGGCCTCCGGAGTCCTTGATAAGTTGCTAAAGCTTTCCCAGGATGGGTGGGGCAGATTTACTGTTCTCTCTCCAGACAATGAAGTCCTTGGTCAGATGTTACCAAGGGTTGGCAAGGGATCATGTGTGTTCTGCCTGTCCTCCTCTTGGCCCACTCTTGTTCGAGCCCTGGGACTTATGCTCATTACATTCCCTGTTTCCCTGGCATGTGTGGGTCTGGGATCCATTTGGTTTGTGATCAACACAGCCTGTGGTTCCCTCCACAAAGAATATTTGTGTTTACCTGTCACCTAAACAATGAAAAAGTGGGTCAGGTCTCATAGTTATAGTCACATAAATTTTTAATAAAACAAAAGTCTCCCCACTATTTTTATGGTTGCATCCAATCTTGAGTCCCCTGAAGAGAAGCAAAGGAAATTTCCATGGCAGTGGAAGAGTAGAAGGTGAGAGAGGAGAAGGGAAGAAAAGGCACTTCAATCCAAGCCACTGTAGGTTGCACCCACGCATACCAAGAGCCTACCTTGCTATAAATCCTGTTTGATTTATTGCAAGTTATCAGAGCAGTCAAAATTGGTATGAAAATCCACACACCACCTGATCTAGAATCAAATAGCAGCCACCAGGGAAGTAGATGGATTAAATGCTTCCACTCTGCTTGCATTTGGCCTTTGCTGTATCAATATTTATTGAGGCAATTCTCTTGGTAATTCCTTGATGACTCCTTCTACTCTCCATCTCTGCAAAATGATTCAAAATGAAGCCTCTGTGGCCATCCAGGCCTTCCAAGGCCAGTGCTGTGGCACAGTGTTATGGAAGCAATCTGGGGTGCAGAAATCCAGGGAACAGGCCCTGTCCAGATCCCACAAGCCCAGTGGCCTTAGGAAATTAACCACTTCGTATCTCAGTTTGTCCCACTGTGCAACAGACAGCAGCAATGACAGCACCTGTCTGGAGGTGTCACAGTTTGGGCTTAATTAGAGAATGTACATAAAGCACTTGAAACAGGACCCATGTACCAAATGGTCATTAAATAGAGCTATTGCAATTTTATATTGCTTTAAGGTAAAATGCTCAAATCTCAGTAAACAAGTACTTTATTTGGGAAATTAAGAAGAGCCCATGAAAGGTTAACCCATGACAAAAATGTTACACATGATTACTATATAAAATGTGGGAGTATAGAAAATCAGAGGAGCAAATTAGATTCAACTGTAATCTCACTGCCCAGAGATAACTAACGTTAATATTAGGACATGCATCACTTGAGATACATAACTTATATTGATATGAATGCAAATATGCATTTATATTTATAAATAGTTTTATTGTGTACACACAAGTGCATATACATTTTTTTTTCAGTACCGAGGATGGAACCCAGGGCCTTTGCACTGAGCTACAGCCCCAGCCTTTTTTTACTTTTGAGACAGGGTCTTGCTAAGTGGTTAAGTTGCTCAGGCTGGGCTAGAATTTACAATCCTCCTGCTTCAGCCTCCTCGAGTGCTGGGATTACAGAAGTCTGGCACTATGTCCAGCCTATATGCATATGCGTTTTACTTAGTAGAGACAATGCTGTGTGTGTGTGGATTAGAACTGTTACTTCAGAGAGCATCTCCACCCACTCAAGATAGAACAGTATTCATCACCCTTACCCCCCAGGCCAGCTGGTTTCAGAAGACTCCTCTCCACACCAGCTTCCTTCCCGGGTGTCATCATGGATTCCTCACACCTCCTACAGGCCTCCCCTGTCCTGCCCCTCGGTGCCTCAGTGGGATAAATGCCTGTTCACTTGCAAATCCTTCCTCTGTGGCTCGAACCTTTCTAGTGACTTTGGGACAGGGTTCTTTTGCCACCAATTAATGTGATCTGAGGAAATGCAAATTAATTTAAATTTTTATGAAAACAAAGCATAAAAGGGAAGAGAACACTGCCAGGAAACACACACATGAATATTCCACTGTTAGCTCCAAGGCGTTTTACTCCCTGCAATTCGGGGTTCGGTGTACAATGTCCATGAACTCTGCCGGTGAACAGCTAAGCATAGGTTCATGCTCCCTTTCCCACATTTTAGTGTCTCTGCACTTTAGCTCTCTATGCACCTGTCTCTTCTGCCCCCTGCCTATTTAGCATAGGCACAGCATCCAGGGGGTTCCTTCTGGGCCTTCCCCACTGCCTGGCTTTTAGACGGATCTGGCCAGAGGATTATACAAGTAAAGGAATCAGATCACCCTTCACTTTGCATTCTGAAACCAGGCAGAATCCACACCCAGGCTGAATCCTTGAGAACTGGAAACTGACTTTCCCAGATGATCTCTAACCTCAAACTCTCCTGCTTCCTAGCCAAGAAGGGTCACACTGTAGCCCATTTACCATGGACAGTTTAACAGGACGTTAATCACTGTGTTTACGAGGATAATCTGAGGACAGGCAATGAACTGCTTCTGATGTCAACCCACAGGCCCATGTAAACCTGGAGGAGAGGAATTAGGAGGCCCAGATATTTGTCTGTGGAGGATGCGGGTAGAGAAGACACGGAGAGAGGAGATGGAGAAAACCCACACCTCTTGAAAGTGCAGTGAGCAGCAGTGAGAAATGGTTTACCCAAGAGAGGGACACAGGAGTCGTCCGCAGAAGACTGGTGTGATGGTTTTCTGTATCAGCTTGGCTAGGCTGTAGTGCCAGTCATAACTGTTGCTGAGGGTGTGTTCTAAAATGTGCTTAACATCTACA